CTACTCTAGCCTGTCATTATGATATGGTCACTCTCCTCTACGCTACTCTACTCTATGTCCTTTTCTACTCTACTCTACTCTGCCTTACTCTGTTGTATCCTACCTTACCCCTGACTGAGTTCACTCAACTCTACCCCTTCGCTGTTCTGCCCTACTTCGTTATACTCTCTACTCTACTCTGCTCTGCTCTACTCTATTCTACTCTACTCGACTCTACCATACTCTTCTCAACCCTAGCCTACTCCTGTTCTACTCTACCCTTGACGTTATACCGTCATTCATTATTCGTCGGAGGTTAGGGGGTGAGTCCGACGTGAAACGGAGACCCCCCCTACCGGGAAATCGATTTCGGTTTCGGGTTCATGTCGTGCGTGCCGTGCGTACGTGCGGGCGAGGCGAAGCTGCGTGGGCGGGCGAGAGGAAATCCTCCTGTGGCTGGGCCGCGGCCGGACCAAATGTAACTCCTCCAGCGGCCGGTGTCCCGCCGGTGTCCCGCCGGTGTCCCGCTGGTGTCCCGAAATCTTCCTGTGGCTGGGCCGCGGTCGGACCAAATGTTTCTCTGGCCCGCGGTGGCCCGCGGTGGCCCGCGGTGTCCCGTGGTGTCCAGTGGTGTCCCGTGGTGTCCTGTTGTGTCCCGTTGAGTAAGATCGATATTGAGATCGATACGGAGATCGATACTGAGATCGATGTGGTGCCCCGAGGTGTCCCTTGGTGTCCCGTGGTGTCCTATGGTGTCCCAAAAAGTGAGATCGATAGTGAGATCGATAGTGAGATCGACAGGTGTCCCTTGGTGTCCCGTGGTGTCCCGTTGAGTGAGATCGATAGTGAGATCGATGGTGAGATCGATACCGAGATCGATGTGGTGCCCCGAGGTGTCCCGTGGTGTCCCAAAAAATGAGATCGATAGTGCGATCGATAGTGAGATCAACAGGTGTCCCGTGGTGTCCCCCAAAGTGAGATCGATAGTGAGATCGATGGTGAGATCGATATTGAGATCGATGTGGTGTCCCTTGGTGTCCCGTGGTGTCCTATGGTGTCCCATTGAGTGAGATCGATAGTGAGATCGATAGTGAGACCGATAGTGAGATCGAGAGGTGTCCCGCGGTGTCCTGTGGTGTCCCGTGGTATCCCGTGGTGGCCCGTTGAGTGAGATCAATAGTGAGATCGATTGAGTCAGATGTTGGTTCCCCCCCGCCCCCCCCCCCACACACAACTTCCTTATCACCCGAAGGGTGGTCGTATAGGTATATACCCCCAGTCTGCCACTTAGCTGGCTGATTGCAGCCCAGACGTCCGCAGACAAATACAGACATCCGCAGTCTGGCCTGGTGCCGAACACTACTACAGATTTTAAGTCTGGCACAGAACAGTCATACAGGTGTCTTGGTTGCTAAACCTAGTACATGTCTTAGCTGTCGCAGCGGAAGTTGAACCTTTCTAGATTTCTGAGAAAGCTTACATGCGCGGCTGGCGCCGCTTCGCCCCTGTGGCCGAGCAGCCATATAACTTATGCCGTTGTGGGGCTGGCAACTCAACACGTCTTCTGTTGCAGATCCGACGGAGTTTAGAACACCGACTATAATGGCATTGCACACGCCAAGATATGTGGCCGGGGCGTCTTGGGCTTGGCAGCCAAATATTTTGTTCGTCTATTTCGGGAGGCCCCCCTAAGACAGTTGGTAGGAGTACACCTGAAGCTAATGCATGTCTACTTGTCGGGTGGCAGCACATTACATTCGATCGGCGGTCGCGCTTGAGGCTGGGCCACCATCACTCAGACTTCTCTAGTTTCAGCCAGCCGCCCGCATGCGCCCTGAGGCCCCCCAAACGCTTTATGTGGTCGGCGCGTTTGAACTATGAGACCATTCTGTCAACATCTGAGCTGTCTCTCGTTTTGGTTTCTTCCCACATTGAAACATGCCTCAGGTTCGAGGAGCCGAAGTAGGACGCGCCGACTGTGTTTCCGAGTTGTGGGATGCCAGAATGAAGGCGCGGCGACCGTGCCCATTCGTTTCGGGGTGTGCAGCGCAAATGGCGCGCAGTACACGCGCCCTAGAGCCGGGCGCCACAACACAGGCGCGCCGACGACGCGTCTGAGGCTCGGAAGCCAAAACACGGACTTGCCGACCACCTGCATTATAGACCAATGCACAGTTTGATCGGCGGAGTCGCGAGCGCGCTTTTCGGTCGACTTGCGAGCGCTCGGACACAGCGAAGCTAATCCTTGACGCTCCGCGTATCTCCATCAGCCTGGGGGGATGCCCCAGGAGCCGCAGCAGCCACAACCAAGGAAACGAACCCGAGCGCGAGCCCAGACCCTGTCGCCGACGAGGACGAGGAAGCAGACCCCCTCGACCCCCTAGGAGCATTCACGGGAGCACCTCCAAGCAGCAAGCCCTGGACGCCCTATTCACAGACCGTCGACCAAGTTGCAGCCCTGGAGCTCTGGCGTGCCAAAGACGGCACTGGAAGGAACAGCGCATCGTCTTGGGAACGCGCG